CGCCTGGATGCTCTCGGCCTCCGACGGCAAGTGGGACAGCCTGGAAGGGCTGCTCACGTGCGAGCCCGGCCTGCTGGCCAAGCGGGACTTCATCACCGGCCTCACCCGCCCCCGCCCCTGGGCCGCCAAGCACGGCAGGCAGGAGCTCCTGGCCATGCTGGTCAACTTCGCCAACAAGCACCAGCTACCGGTGAACATCAACGCCCGGTCGAGCGCGGGCTACACCGCCCTGCACTTGGCAGCCATGCACGGCCACGTGGAGGTGGTGAAGTTGTTGGTGGGCGCCTACGACGCCGACGTGGACATCAGGGACTACAGCGGGAAAAAAGCCTCTCAGTACCTGAGTCAGAGCACCGCTGAGGAAATCAAGAGCCTGGTGGGGGCCCTGGACGAGGAGGACGCGGAGAGTGCGGCCGGCAGCGGGGGTGGACGCTGGAGGCTGTCCAAAGTGCTCCCCTCGCACCTCATCACCTACAAGCTGTCGCACGTCCTGGAGGATGGGGGAGACCACCACCACCACCACCTCCACCTGGCTGAGGGGTGGGCTGGAGGCAAAGCGAAAGAAGCAGGTCGCAAAGCCTCTGGCAGCTCTAGTGGGCGGATCAAACCCAGGCTCAACAAAATCCGCTTCAGAACCCAGATCATCCACACTACGCCCTCTTTCAGGGACCCGGAGCAGCCACTGGAGGAGGGAGAGGAGGAAGAAGAGGAACGGTCTCTTAAGGGCCACTCTTCGTCCTCGTTCAAATTGAGACCAAAGTCCAATGTATTTGGGTAAAAACTTCAGGGACGCTAAGGCTGTCTTCAGTAGAATCCTATGTGTGAGTATAAGGAAGTGAGACAGAATAGAGTGAGACCAAATCATGCATTCCCCAGGGCTTAGAATGGGTGGGGAGGAGCTGCCGGCATTCTGGCTAAGTGGATTTCTTTTGAAGTGATTCACCACCACACCTTGACTCTGCCTCTTCTTCACCCCACCCCTCTGTCCTGGAGTCCCTGTGTCCGAGGACTAGAAATGCAGCCAAGTCATCCGGACAGAACTGATGGCAGACGGTTCCTTTGCTTTAACCATTGCTGGATGCCAGACAAAGTAAGGGATGGTGCACTTTGACTCATCTGTTGTGTAAGTGGTTACTCTTCTAAAAACAACAAAAAGTGCAAATCGTAATAAAACCGGCAGTATTTACGATGAACAAAACTACTTACTGCCCTTGTTTTTTTTACTAATTGCCATTTGCTTTCTAAGGTACTACTGAAGGTCAATCACAGTTAAAATGCTAAAAATAGAAATTAGAGACTAATGTGAATAAAAATGGGAGTCCTGTTGGTATCCTATTTGTGTTATAAGTTGCCTTTCACTTATTTTTTGTAAGCAATTTCAGTTTTAATCACTGAAAAAAGAGTCAACATTAACTTTGACAAAATCTGTAGTGTGGTTTCTACCAATCACTCCACTGCACTCAGTGTTAAGGTACATTCTTAATAGCTGCACAGATTGTTATTAAAAACATACTCTTCACAGTCTACGGTACTTTTAAATACTGCCTCTTATTCTGATTCTCACTATAAATTTCCTGGCGTTTTTATTCTGGGTGTCTATTGTTATTGGTTCTGTTTGCTATAATCCTACTTAATGGTGCTTAGAGCTGAATTACCCACAGAAATTGTTTCTGGTTTAGAGAATTAGAAATTGGCATAAATATTGGTGACCCTATGTTATTAAAATCAACTTAATGATTCTCATACAAAGACTCTTTTACTAGTACAGTTATAGTCTCCATGCTTGCTAGTAATGTTTTGCGAATGTTTAAAGGTACTAAATCCTTCTGTTTTCCTATGGTTTCTTGACTCTTTTAGAGACATTCGGTAGTTACTGAAAAGCTGGGTAGCAAATCTATTCAGTTAAAAATAGCACTTTATAGAAAAGAAGAAATGGGACTATTTCTATATTTAAATGATACTGGCTGTTGCATTCCTTTGTTTATAAATGAACAATAACATTTATTAAAATTAAAGACTTGTTTATGGTTTTTCATGACATTTTATCCATTTATGTTATAGTAAATGGCTTTATAATTACGTTAAAATTTAACTTACATACGTATTGGTTTGTAACAAGAGTAGAAGCAGCTTCCGTGGGGGACTACTTTGAACAAGCCCTCCTCCCTTACCTATTCCAGAAACCTGTGTACCTACAGCCTACAGGGTAAAGGGGTGAGTTAGCCTGCAGAAGGACTTGACCATGTATGAATTGCAGAGCAGTGGCACTTACAGTTCTTAGACAGCTCGTTTTCCAAGTCATAGGTATTTATCACAAGTTTGTCCCATCTCTCTGGCAACTGAATTTGACTAAAGATGGACGGACAATATTCACATAGAATATATAAACTATTGTTCATTTGTGTGCCTTTACTTTTGTTTCATAAATATGAAATTGGTCATGTACATTTGAGAAGCACTTTTATTCATATATGTGGATGGAAAACCAATCTAATTTTGTATAAATTAAAAATGAGTTTCTTGACGTTGAAAAGCAGTCATCCGTTCCAAATCCATACATGTTCCCCATGATATATTTAGTGCAGCGTAAGCTCTAACTTCCCATTGAAGAATTGTAAATTTCATAAACTTGGAAAGCTAAAATAGCTTTAATAGGAGACTATAATAGAAGATGCTTCAGAGTTATCTAAAGGTTCTGTTAATAGTCCACATTAGCTAAAATCTATAATTTGCTAGATTCTTGGAAATTGAGTTGATACATCATGTAACTTTTTTTTTCCCACACTAAAGGCTTTACTTTTTCTGATAATACTTTACATTTTAAAAACTCATCCCTGAGAGGAAATACTTTTAGCATTCCTCATCAAGATGTACTGGTGTGTACTAGGTGTAGCATTTTCAGCTCCTTAATTCTACATTCCTCTTATTTTTCAATTTCCAAATGGAGTTTATACAAAGCAAATGATTTATGTAGTTTGGTATTCAGAGAGTTGTGCCTACTATTAATGAAAATATATATGTCAGGTTCTTAGATGTTTATTGATATCAGACTGTATGACTAAAAGGGCCAAGTATGTCCATGTGTCTCTTATAGGTACACTTTGAATTGGTGAATATTTGTCACAATTCTCTTCACTTTCATGGTATCTAAAATGTAGCTAGCTTCTGTAACTTGAAAATCTGGTACTATTTTATTCATGCTTGAAAACTTGGAGTCTTGAATGTCTTGTCTCTCTCTTTTTTTTTTTTTTTTTTTTAGTAAATTAAAATTTGAGAGTTTGAAAATGTAACATCTATTTCTAAAGTTAGTTTTATCAAAATAAAAGGTTCACACTAGAATTTTTTCTGAATTGTCTTAATTTCTATAGTCCTATAGACTCTGCGTGTGTGTGTGTGTGTGTAGATATATATGGGGATATACAGCCCCAGAGAGGGAGAGGCCCAGAGGGGATGGTCATGCCGCAATCCCTTCTCCATTCTCCTCTCAGGATCTTGGGCACACACACACCCGGTGTGAGTTTTAAGCCACTGGGTCCAGGACACGAACTGTGGTCGACTACAAGGGAGTCCAGCGACATAGCCATTACACTAACTGCTGGTCTCTTTACTTGTTAACCTCATCTCAAGAAGTGGCTTCTCCATTCAACATGTATGGCATTTTACTGTTCACAAAATCCTTTTTGAAGTTTTATCTATCCCTCCAGGTTCTGGGCCATACATCCCTAATTTACAGATGAGGAAATGCATGTTGGTGCCTGTTCAGGGTCACATGGTAGATGGCAATAAGATCTTAAAGTCAGTGCTTTTTCGCAGAATTATCTTTTCTGAACTACAAATTGCCAGACACTTGACAAAACTGCTATAATTTGGCACCAATGGTGTTGAAGTCCAACTTAAAGAGAAGATAGTGCCTCCACCACTACCTTAAGAGGATAAAAATTAATGAAACCACTATGGGTCATGCACACACCATCTGCCATAAACTCTCCTTACCTGGACCCAACCTCACAGAGGTGTGTGAATGATGCCTTTTTCACTTGTCAATATCCATCAAGCATTGGATGTTAATGAATTCATTTCCTCCTCAAGGCTACCTTTAGATCTGTGTTTCAGCAAAAATTTCCACGGTATAAATGAATCCTTGGTACATATGTCTGCTATTTCTCTCTCTCGGATCCCACTGTGATAGCTGCTGGGGGTTTTTTGTTGTTTTATGACAACCCACAAAATACCTCGTAGTATAAATGAGAGACTAAGTAGTTAGTGTTTCTAGAATGACTTCTTTCCTTATAAGTACATGTCTTAATAGGATTCATTGAACAATATACTTGAACGTATCATCAAAAATGTTTTCTAGTGGGAACCAGCAGTTAGCGTAATGGCTATGTCGCTGGATTCCCATGTAGTCGACCGCGGTTCGTGTCCCGGACCCGGTGGCTTAAAACTCACGCCGGGCGCGTGTGCGTGCGTGCCCAAGATCCCGAGAGGAGAATGGAGGAGAAGGGATTGCGGCGTGACCATCCCCCCTGGGGGGTGATTTCTCGCTTTCTGTCTCTATGTCTCTCTCTGTCTGTCTGGCAAGCGCACGCGCCCTACAGTGAAAATCTCTCCAAAAAAAAAAAAAAGAAAAAAAAATATATATATATTTTCTAGTGAGAATTATTTTTCTAAATAAACAACATTTAGCATATTTTGCATAGTTAATCCCAAAATTAAAGACAGAATTTGCTGCGAGTCAATATTCCTTCAATAATGAGTCAAACCTTCAAAAGCTACTTAATATTAATGGACTGGAAGATGACTTATGAACAGTACTTCCTTGTCACCATACTTTTTTCTCCTTAATCTCTTTACATGTTAATCTTTTTATTTCTTTTTCTTTTTTTGGGGGGGAGGGGGGAGGTTTTTGCTATAGGGTGTGTGTGCTCGCCAGAGACAGAGAGACAGAAAGCGAGAAATCACCCCCCAGGAGGATGGCCATGCCGCAATCCCTTCTCCATTCTCCTCGGGATCTTGGGCACACACGCACATGCGCCTGGTGTGAGTTTTAAGCCACCGGGTCCAGGACGCGAACCGCGGTCGACTACAAGGGAGTCCAGCCACATAGCCATTACACTAACTGCTGGTCCCTTTACATATTAATCTCATCTCAGGAAGTGGCTTCTCCATTCAACATGTTTTATTACATATTTTTCCACATCGATGCATTGGAGTACTTAACAGAATCATTGCTAGGTGGAGACTTTATTATTTTTTGAAGAATTATTTAACTTCATTCATTTTTAACTTGAGCAGACACACACACACACACATCGAAGGAGAGAGAGAAAGTCAGAAAGCAAGCCACCAGGTATGGAACTCACACTGTGGTCAGCCATGTGGGAGTGTCCAGTGCCTTAACCACCATGCCACCCCTTAGTCCCGAAAGATTTTCTTTTTCTTTTTTTTTTTGAGAGGTTTTCACTATAGGGCGCGTGCACTCGCCAGACAGACAGAGAGAGACATAGAGACAGAAAGTGAGAAATCACCCCCCAGGGGTGATGGTCACGCCGCAATCCCTTCTCCTCCATTCTCCTCTCGGGATCTTGGGCACACACGCACACGCGCCCAGAGTGAGTTTTAAGCCACCGGGTCCGGGACGCGAACCACAGTCGACTATGTGGGAGTCCAGCGACATAGCCATTATGCTAACTGCTGGTTCCCACGAAAGATTTTATTTTTGAGGACTGTAAACCACAACCATTTGCCTCTCATTGAACTGTCTGAAGGGATTAACACTAGATTACTTAGCAGATGATGTTGAGGAGAGAATTCCTGAACTGAGTGGGAAGTTGAATGTGGATAAGGTTTGATGTCCCTTTAGCTTGAAAAGTATGTATTAGAGTGTATATTCATGCCCCAGAAACTGAGCTATATGTCGCTCAGTGTTCATTATGGTGAGACCATTGAAGCAAAAATTTGTCTGATTTACCTAATTTGGGTTTACCTCATAGCAATGAATTATATTTATAACATAATTCAAATTTTTCATCAATTCATATTGGTCTAACACCCAATTAGTATTATCATATTTTTAAATATTTACTTACTTTCTAGATGTAATTGATTCATGCAAAACACAGACTCCTTATTTTCTCCTTGAAGGTGATCACTACTTTTTTTTTTTTTTTTTGAGGTTTTTGCCATAGGGTGCTTACACCCTCCATAGAGAAAGAGAAACAGTGAGAGGGAAAGTAAATCACCCTCCCTAGGGGGAAAGGCTGTGCCACAATCCCATCTTCATTTTCCTCCTGGGATTTTGGGTACCCATGCACACACATGCCCAGTGTGATTTTCAAGTGCCAGGTCCAAGACTTAAATTGCAGTTGAACATGGGAGTCCAGCGTCTTAACCATCATGCCACCCGTTGGCCTCAAAAGTGATCACTATTTCTTGATCATTGGAAAATGTAGCTGCTCTGTATGTGTCATCTGAATTTAGGCAAGGTATTTGTTCTGAGTTTTATAGTTGTTAATAAGATTCCAAGCTGCTCTGTATGTGTCATCTGAATTTAGGCATGGTATTTGTTCTGAGTTTTATAGTTGTTAACAATATTCCAGTGATGTGGATGATTAAAAGTGCTATAAAGTACCAAACATGTAACTCACGGCATTGGAGAAGTCGAGTCCAGAGCCTGTTCAATGGCACGGCAGTAATACACTGTGCAAGAGGGGCTAGATCCATATGAGATCACAGGTTCGGTTCTCCAGCCAACCTGTAAATGGCAGCAAGTACATATATGACCCTGGCTGGCTGGGAAGTCTGTTGGGGAGAGAGCACAGAGGGAGATTGTGGCATGAGGTCCTGTCAGGTGTGCTTATCTTTATCTCTGTCTCTCGTGAAAGAAAAAAAAATCCAGGGTCAGAGTTCCTGTCCCCTCTTCTCTCACCAGCTGTTTCCTCTTCTACAACCATGATTATAGGGATTCGATGGTTGTAGCAGTAACTCACCTGGTCTTACACGGGAAGGCCCAGAGCCTTCATATCTACACTAGGTACATGTACATGTGCCCATGATCCAGACTAGCTGAGCCTGGGAGTGAATCTTGGTGTGAAGACCTGTTGGAGGTGTCTATCTGTCTGCCTCTGTGTCTCTCACATGAAAGGAATAAATGGGGGAAAAAATCTTAATTATACACTCACAGTTGCTCCTATGTAAAATTAAAAGCGCATAGATTAAAAATAAATAAAAAATAAATCCACAATAAACAGAGATTCAGTATGCCTTTCAGAAACCGGTAGAAATTATTTGGAATATATAAATAATGAAATAAGTTACTTAATATATTTATAAATGAACCCTGTAGCTGACAAATTAACAATATCTATCTTTTTCATTACAAACATTGACTATTTACAGGTAACAAAGGAAATCTCAATAAATTTAAAAAAAAATCAATTGCATACAAATGGTTTCACTTACCACTTAAATTAGATGAACAATAATAGTTGTTTTTTAATCATTTTATTTGGAACCCTAAAATTGTGTTCCTTAAAGAATTTAAAACAATCGCATTGGAAGTGACAGCATGCTAGATCCAAAAGTGAACTACGCTGAAAGATTTTCTATGTTAAGTTTTTTATGATGCATCTAAAATGGTATTTGAGCCAAATTTATGGTCTTAAATTCATTTAAAAGAAAAAGATGGGGGCAGCAGGTGGCATAGTGGCTAAGAGCGCTGGACTCCCACATGGTCAACCACGATTCAAGTCCTGGACCTGGCAGCTTGCTCTCTCTCTCTCCCTCTGTCCCTTTCTGGTCAAATTTAAATAAATAAATAAAGTTGAATTTTAAAAAATTCTTAAATGTGACTTGTTAAAAAAAGAAAAAGATAAAAAATGACTGATTGCTCAACTCAAACTAGAAATAAAAACTTAGTAAACTTAAAGGTGGTAGTAAGAAATAATACAAAAACAACTTTATACTAACAATGTGAAAACTATTAAATAGATAATAGTATTTTAGAAAAACAGTGGTTTTAAAAAATAGAAAGTGTTTAAATACTCAAATAATCATTATTACATTG